GGGGCCAGCTGCCTGCAGCCAGGGGAAGGAAAGCCCTGATAGGCCCTGATCTCAGGCCAGGCCTAGGGACCCTACCCGAGGGGTCCCGGATTGTGAGAGGGTGCAGGCCGGGCTGAGGGACCCCCCACCCCCGAGTGCACGAATTTTCATGCACTGGACCTCTAGTTGTGTATATAAAATACTGAGGCAAGAGAAATATTTAGAGAGAAAAATTGGCTGGTAATACAAAGAAGAGAGAAACAAATATTTAGTTTAATAGGTATGATATAAGACAGTGATGGCGAACCTTTTGAGCTCGGCGTGTCAGCATTTTGAAAAACCCTAACTTAACTCTGGTGCCGTGTCACATATAGAAATTTTTGATATTTGCAACCATAGTAAAACAAAGACTTATATTTTTGATATTTATTTTATATATTTAAATGCCATTTAACAAAGAAAAATCACCAAAAAAAATGAGTTCGCGTGTCACCTCTGACACACATGTCATAGGTTCGCCATCACTGATATAAGATGAGTAAAAATGCTAGGAGTACATCAACTGATAAATGGATTAACAGAGTGTAGTATATGTGCCACTACCAGTTCACTCCAAAATTCAATTAAATCCAAATATAAAACCAAGCATTCTAGTTACCCGGTTAACCTGAAGCTAAATATTTTTAATCCAAACACATCTAAGAGTGTATTACGTTCTAGTAGACGTGGTTACCAGTTTGAAAAATATCCTCACCTGTTCGATGACATAAAAGGCAAATTCCAGCCGCTGTTTCTGGAGCATCGGAATCAGGTGCAAGAAGAAAATTGGCAGGTGTTCGTGGCGATTGCGGAAAGGGATGAGCACTGCCACCTTTAAAGCAAAACAGTCGCACGTGAACAACAGAGCAGCAGCGCCGGAGGCAAAACTAAGCACTGACCCTCACCAACTTACAACGGTGTTAAAGCCACACCCTGACTAGTCTTCTCACCGGGGACCTAGCAGTGAGCAAAAGCAGGCATGGCCCTTGCCTTCGCCTCCTTGACCTCGGGAACCTGGGGCGGTATGCGTGGGCTCTGAGGGCCGTTCTAAGGTGTGTGGTCGTTACCCTCTGAGCACCAGGAGAAGTCGTGGGAAGACTGAAAAAGCCTGATAAGGTCAGATATGGTGATGGCAGAGACTTGGTGATAGAAAGAGTTGATTATAGAAAGCCAAAAGTGGACTGGGAGATGGTTTGGAAATCTTCGCAATAGTTGAGACAAGAGGTGAGGACAGCTTGACCTGAGAGGCGGTTGGAGAAGAAGAGAGGTGCATGTTGTTTTGAAACATCTAAAAGGTCGACAGACAGGATTTGTTTATGGATGAGGTGTGAGAAGTGAGGGAGAGGGATATGTCAAGAGTAACTTCTAGCCCGGCCCGTGTGGCTCAGTGGCTGAGTATCAACCTATGAACCAGGAGGTCATGGTTCGATTCCCAGTCAGGGCACATGCCCGGGTTGCGGGCTCGATCCCCAGTAGAGGGAGTGCAGGAGGCAACCAATCGATGATTCTCTCTCATCAATGATGTTTCTGTCTGTCTCACCCTCTCCCATTCTCTCTCTGAAATCAATAAAAAATATATTTTACAAAAAAGTAACTTCTAGGTTTTAAAGCAGATCATAAATAACCTTATGTGTTTAAATTGAATTTAAGAGAGATACCACTTAAGTATCTATTATCCTACACGTGGCTTATCTGGCCTAGAGGTATTTTTAAGCAATATAAGAGATGTGTCCTGGGATATACATGAAGTTTTATCATTACATTAACATTTTTCATTTAATCAAAATGCACAATTAAATTTTGCTACATTTTATGTTTTTTTCAGTGGTAAGATAATATTCAGGTTAAAATAAAATAGACAATAAAATTATGTTTAAAATGCTTAACAAAAAGATCATGTAAGCAGCACAGAAAACAGAGAAATCTGTCCTTAAGTGCCCCCCCCCAAAAAAAAGAAAAAAAATATACTGTATATGGAAATTAAAATGGTAAAATGCTTAACAAAAAGATCATGTAAGCAGCACAGAAAACAGAGAAATTTGTCCTTAAGTACCCCCCCACACACAAAAAAAGAAAAAAATATACTATATATGGAAATTAAAATGGTTTCTCAGCAGGTCAATTTTTTGTCTAACAGTAAAAAACCCATTTATTGGAACTATCAAAATCAAGACAAGAAAACACCATCTATATAAAATGTGTTAATATAACATAAGAATATGTGAATAATTATCAATCATCACAACTCAAATACTCTATTTTCTGGATCCCAACTTTGTCATACAAGCCAAGTCACCCCATAACTCAGTTTGCCCTTGAAACAGCTAAAATGTTTTCTAAATATTACTTTCTTAGCAATTTCTGAGCTAAACTGGCTTGAGCATAATTGTAAATTTTCTAATGAAATCTGAAATTAAGATAACTTTCCTATACATTATAAATTCCAAAATCGTTACATTTTCAAAGAACATAACAGTCAAACTATATCTAATCAAAATTTGTGTTGCTCTACATTCTGGATTTTTAAACACAATCTAAGTTGGCTATTATAAAAAATTATTTAAGAACATTAAATCTGGGATTTACTAGAATTTCACACCCAAATTTCACTAACAAATAAATAAATGTAAATAACTGGGAGTGCTAGGTTTAGGACCTAATCCTACCTGTGAAATCAGGGCATGGCATTAGATACAGCCAATAAAAATAAAAAAAAAATAGTAACATTCACTTGTGTATATTATATTACCAGGATCATAAATGAGAGAAATTTTTAAATTCTTAAAATGGTTTTACTTAGAGCGAACAGGAGATGCTTTCGTCAAATTAAAGATGTCTAACCCAGAAACTCCACCGCTAATTTTCCCTTCACGCTGATGGGAGAGCAGAGAACGGCTGTGATGAGGCAGATGTTTTCATGTTTACTCTGTCTCACCCAGTGTTTGCTAAGTGGTAGGAACTAAAGAGGGCCTGGGACCCTGCCAGCCCCAGCTTGGATCCCATTCCCTTTTGGTTTGCCCTTAAGGTACCTCCTGGCTTATGAATTTGAGCCACAAAACTGCCAGAGCAACCCCCATCCACATCCCTTCCTCCCCGCTCCCCCCCGCCCACACACACACACACACACACACACACACACGCACACTCGGGCTACTGCTGTGCTGGGCTCTCCCTGCTGACCAGGCCCTCCCCAGTGGGCTGCACTGTACATTACTAGTGTATCCTAGCAACCTCCAAACCCATACAACTCCCAAGGCAGGGCAGGGACCCTGGGTGACTCTTAGGAGAGGAAACAGCTATGAAAAGATAAAAGAGAGAAAGGAATGAGACAGTGAGTGCAGGTCCCTACCACAGCCTTCTCTGAAGCGCACCAGGGTGGAGACTTGTACTGAAATGAGGAAGCTGGTCCCGGTTCTGAACGAGCCACAAGCTGGCGGCATCAGACATGGAGTCAATGGACTATAAGAGCCGTTCAGGCGAGTTACAGATATAAGGGAAGAGGCTATGATATCCTAGTAGCTCCAGAGTCCATATCATTTCAATACAATTAGGCTGAGTACTGAGTTAAACATATAAGAATAAACAACGGTAAAGTCACAGCTCCGTAATGCAGCCATTTCTTCAATGAGGCATTTAAAAGATCAAGAGTTGTTTTTGTCTTTAATCTTATAAGGACACTGAGAATGTCCTAAGTGTCCCGGCAAATTCCAAGAAGCAAAACCGTTGTTTTAATAGCAAAGAAATGTCCACATTTGAATGAGACAGTTAGGAGAAATTCCGAATGGTGTGCCTAAAGCAACGTTTTTGTTTAAACCAAGCTGAACAGAATCTTAACATTTCCCTCGCCCGTCCCTTCTCGCGGCTGTGGACTGATGTTCCCGATAATTTACAATTTATTGCCTGGGACAGGATCTCCGTGTCCTGTGACGAGTTATCTCCAGCTCTCACAACTTTGCTTTCGGGACGTTCTGCCTTAACTGTGCCCTGATCTGCTCCCCGTCCTGCGGATGCATCTCCAGCGGCAACAGAGAACATCTGGTCGTTACCTCCTGCAAACACCCTTCATCATCTCCTGACGCTCCACACCCCTCTCGTTCAAGCACAATTACCCCGTCAGCCCCTCCCACTGAAACCACGGACCTTACTGCCTCTGTGCCTGTTTTCCCTCCCTGCCTGTTTTCTCCGGTCGCACCAGCAAGAGATCCGTGCATAGGCGTCCCCACCTGTTTGCGTCCTACTTTTAAACGCCCAGCAGCCCAGCTGCGGTGGCCCTAGAGCAGTGGTCGGCAAACTCATCAGTCAACAGATCCAAATATCAACAGTACAACGATTGACATTTCTTTTGAGAGCCAAATTTTTTAAACTTAAACTATATGGGTAGGTACATTGTCATTAACTTAATTAGGGTACTCCTAAGGCTTAGGAAGAGCCACACTCAAGGGGCCAAAGAGCCGCATGTGGCTCGAGAAAGCCGCAGTTTGCCAACCACGGCCCTAGAGGACACGGCTCCACACCTGCCCCTGTGAGGTGCTATCCTCCTGCCCCTCACCACCCCCCCACTCATTCAGGTCCATCGCGCCTCCTCCTCCGCGTCCCAGTGCCTCCAGGAGCTCCTCACACAGGAGGCACTTGATAGGAAACGCAGCTGAGTCCCTTCCCACACCAGAACCGGCCTGTCTGGGGACTGAGGGGTGCAGTCTCTGTTAGCACCAAACCCCAGGTGGCTCTGAGGCAGGTGGCGAGGAACCATCGAGGGGCCTGGGACGGGCAAGGGGGCCCAGGCCTCTGCGGAGATAACAGCTTCCGGCAGCTGCCTGGCCCTCGAGCCTGCAGGGTTTAGACCAGGCCGCCCGGCCTCCCCCTGACCCTGCGTGGAAAGGCAGTGTCCCAGGCGCACCCTCCATCTCCGACCTCCCGGAGAAGCAGCATCCGCCTGCGCTGGGTCTGCCATGCGAGCCAGCCCCGTTCAGCTGTGACGGGAACGGCTGAAATCCCTGGTTTTAGAGCTCAGCTCCCAGGAACTAGCCGTTCATTAATGGATCTTTTACGTGTTTTTAAAAAAGGACCTCACATGTTAAGAATCAAGTTAGTAGCAATGTTTCACATAAATCTAGTTATTCCTTCTCTCCCCGTCCCCTCAGCTCTGTTGCAAGGCTCGAATGGGACACTGTTGAACGTAAGTGGCAGGGAGGAGGGGTCGCTTAGTTAACTACCTATGGCAAGGACAGGCCAGCTCTGAGTGAGCCCCGAACTTCCTCTCACGCCTTTACCTGAACACCTTGGAACCAGAGACTGTATTCTCAGCAGGATCTGTGCAAAGCTGAACTAAAAGCAGTATTGCCACGCAGCTCCTAAATAAATGAGCTGATTTTTAGATCCCTCAGTTAGCTTGGTCCTAGGAACTCCCCTTTCCGTACTGCTGTCCACTGGTTCGCGTGGACAACACTGACAGCCTACTGAAATCTCTAAGTCAAAACTCCCTATGTGCGTCTATAGGGTGTCCCAAAATTCACGCAGGATTTGAATTTTACGTGAGCATTAACAACAACAACAACAACAAAAATAAAAGCCTAATTTTACTTGGTTTATTGAATCAGATTCTAATATCGGTTGCCCTTTGATTTCAATCGCTTCAATTTGATAAGCATTACCAAGTACCAATTATGGCCCAGGAGCAGGGACAATGAAGACCAATGAAGACCATGGCTTTGCGTATGTGCCAGCAAAGCCATGGAGGCCATTTACCTGATGTGCTATTCCATACATAACCCTATGCTGTATACTTTATGAATCAATAAAAATTTACAATTTTTCATTATAAACCTGTGTTTTCTATCAAAATTACTTCTTGCGTGAATTTTGGGACACCCTATACCTGTGTGCTGGAAAGTGAGAAGAAAACAACCATAACATTTAAAGTCCAGTGTCTGATAGGGAGCTCTGGAGAACAGACAGGAATACTTCGTTTCTCTAATCCCAAATCACCCTCTGCGATGCCACACTCCCGAGGGCCGCCCCGAGCCCACACGAGTGTATGTGTGAGGACCCCTCCCTGCTAACCCACAGCCTGCGACTGAGGGGCTCGCCTTCATCGCATCCAACACACACGGTCATCACCCAAGTCAGATAAACAATGTATCTGCCCAGGACGTGTTTAAAAAGTGGGAGTTACAGAAATTGGGCCACATTATATATACAAATGGGAGGAAAGTCAATCAGGAAATATGGAAAGATTCCTTTATTAACCAAATCTGAGCTGGAAAATAGCAGAGGACAGTTAGTAAAATAGAATGTTTCCCCAACGTTTGTACTGGAATTCCTTTAGGCAGCCTCCCAACTGAACGAGGCATTTATTTGTCACATAAACTCAATGCAACGGAGCTGGTTTTGGTGTTTGCCGTATACGGGGTGGGGAAAAGGAGGTTACGGCTGTAATACTAATAACACAAGAATTCGTAATAATACAAGAACAAACCCTGTTTCGCAGACTCACAACTGTAAACCTACTTTTGCCCACGCCGGATATGACAACATGCTCCAAGTTTGGGAGCGCAGATATAAAAGAGACACATCCCCCAAACACGAAGAGCTCAAGGCCAGTTAAGGAAAGGACTTATATCATAAGCTTAACAGCACAGACTTCTCCCTCCCAGCAGTGATATTGTTCTTGTACACCAGAAAAACCCACAAGCATTTCAGCAGAATACTAAGATTTCAAAAGAGGAGTTGGAAACCACTCCCAGATTAAGGTGACATCACAGTCCTTTAGGACATAACCTTTGATTTAATCATATGTAGTTTTCAGTTGACTTGCGTCAGTACCACTTCCTCTTCAACCATAAAAACATCGCCTGGCTGTGCATTTAACCAATTTCATAGTCGTGAGAGCAAGTCGAGGCTAAGCCGGGGTTTTCTATTACAGTGCTTTTAAGCAGCAGAGGCAGGCTCTCCCCCTTACAGTTTTTCAAATAAAACATTAAGTGGAATTCCGACATAACAAAGAGATCAAAAGTTGGTACTCTGGCTCAGGCGGCGTGGCTCAGTGATTGAATGTCGACCTATGAACCAGGAGGTCACAGTTCAATCCCCAGTCAGGGCACAGGCCTGGTTGCGGGCTCGATCCCCAGTGTGGGGCGTGCAGGAGGCGGCTGATCAATGATTCTCTCTCATCGTTGATGTTCCTCTCTCTCTCTCTCTCTCTCTCTCTCTCTCCCCCTCTCCCTTCCTCCCTGAAATCAATAAAAACATCTTTGAAAAAGAGTCTGTGCTCCACCTTCTGAAACAGAGGTGAGAGCCCCATGCTCTCCTTTCTGTCTCACAGGGACCTCTGAGTGGCCTCTTTAGAATTCTGGGCTCAGAGGAACAGAGCCTGAAAACCCCAATGTTGGACCCAAGCGGAAACCAGGACATTACTACCCTCACCATGCTCTGGCACCGGCTCCCAGACCTGGAGGGGCCGTGCCTCAGGTGTCAGCAAGCACTAGGGACAGGTGGTGCAGGGGGCAGAGCAATCACGGCCTCTCCTCCAGACAGAACAGAACTGCTACGGGATCTCTAAGACTGGTGATAACACGTGAGCATACACTTTACATGTGAAGACTGGTGATAACACGTGAGCATACACTTTACATGTGAAGACTGGTGATAACACGTGAGCATACACTTTACATGCGAAGATACAGTTACAGTCTTCCTGAGGAACAATATTAAATGGCATGTGAACTGTGAATACCTATGCATCCTGTATAATAAAAGCCTACTATGCAAATCGACCCAACGGCGGAACAACCCATTGCTATGACGTGCACTGACCACCAGGGGGCAGATGCTCAACGCAGGAGCTGCCTCCAGCACACAGGCCCCAGGCCAGCCAAGGTGAGTGCCAGCGGGGGCCCCCCACAACCCCCGATCGCCTCACCGGTCATCCCACAGATGGGCCTGATCGCCGGCCAGGCCTAAGGACCCTACCTGTGCATGAATTTCACCAGGCCTCTAGTTAAATAAAAAAGTGTTGATTTCTTAAATCCATCCAGACCTAAAGCTGTTTCACTGTGTATTCTGAATCAAGCACACGACTCCTCGGAGGTACAGCAACGTCGCCCTGCTCACGAGCAAATGTGCCTCACCTTCCACCTGGGCTTGCAGTCCTTCGGTCTCCAGTGTCCTCCGGGCTCAATGTCTACATCCTTGGAGAAGAGTTGATGAATTTCATCAAAACTGACTTCACTTACGTTGACATTGAGAAATCCCCCTGGAAGGCCAAGAACAGGAAGAATGGTTTTAATATTTTTTTTTTTTGCCTCAAAGATGAAGTAAGACAAGCCAGCACTCAGTAGAGTGAGCGGCATAACTCAGCTGCCAGAGCAGTGCGGTTCGTTCCTGTTATCACCACATAATGGTTAGTATCACCCCCTTTCCATTTTAGTTTGCATGATAAATTATATGGTCACACTATCATTACCTTTAGTAAGTCAACCTAAAAAAAACAACATATTTAACCTTTTGGTTTTGAGTAATGAATATTTTCATAGCCTTTGGGAAATGTTTGCATGTCATTTCAACTTTGCACATCATTGCAGTTTAACAGCTATTCAAGTTATTTAAACATTATGTTTAATTTCAACATAGTCGACAGAGGGGACACAACAGCACAGCACAAAAGAGGTAATGAATTCAGCAGTCAGCCTGACCAGAAGCTGTCGATTGGAGAAATTATTTCACTTCTCCGTGCCTCGGTTTCCCCACGGGTAAGTGGCGATGGTAATGCCTGCCTCCCAAAGGGGTTGTACCCATTAGATGAAATAGAGTGTGAAGGACCGAGCAGAGTGTCAGCACAAAGGTACACACTCACAAATGTCAGCTACTATTACTGTCATTTTTAAGAGAGAAAGTCTGCAAACACAATTCTGCAAATTTTTTTTAATATATCTTTATTGATTTCAGAGAGAAGGGAGAAGGAAAGAGAGATAGAAACATCAATGATGAGAGAGAATCATTGATTGGCTGCCTCTTGCATGTCCGCTAATGGGGATCAAGCCCGCAACCCAGGCATGTGCCCTTGACCGGAATCGAACCTGGAACCCTTCAGTCCGCAGGCTGATGCTCTATCCACTGAGCCAAACCAGCTAGGGCAATTCTGCAAATTTTTTAAACGATTTTTTATTTTTAGAAAGGGAGGAGGGGAGAGGAAGAGAGAAAAACATCAATGTGAGAGCAAAACACTGATCGGCTGTCTCCTACAGGGGATCGAGCCCACCACCTGGGCATGTGCCCTGACCAGGAATCAAACAGGCAACCTTTCGGTGCATGGGACGATGCCCAACCAACTGAGCCACACTGGCCAGTGTGTAATTGTGCAAATTTATTTTTTTAATATGTTTTTATTTATTTTAGAGAGAGAAGAAGGGAGAGGGAGAGAGAGAAACATCAGCCTGCTGCCTCCTGCATGCCCTCAACCGGGGATTGAGTCTACACCCCAGGCATGTGCCCTGACCAGGTATTTAACCAGCAACCTCTTGGTGCCTGAGTCAACATGCAACCACTGAGCCACACCGGCTGGACTACAAATTTATGTTGCACATCTACCACATATCCGCACAGATCCGATATACTGAAGATGTCTCTCCTAATAGGTTTTCTAACGTATACTATTGAAAGAGGAATAATCTTAGTCAGAAAATCATTTCCATTCCCTTGAAAATAAAATGAAGAACTAACAGAACGAAGTTCTTTCCAGCCTCCTCATCTCACAAAATAGAAACCAACAAATGTTGAGATTCCCATTTCTGAGCCCCAGTGGCCAGGATTTCATGATATAAAGCATGCAGTTCCGCTCGGGGGAGCCCCTTTCCTCGCTTCTGCTCCTCTATTCCAGAGGCTTCCTCAGCCGCCTCTCTCCCCAGCCCCCTCTCCATCAGTGGCTTCCCTGAAGCACGGAGGCATGCTGGGAAGAAGTATTCTAACGTGCAAATGCCTGGTCGGACTGCGGGCCGAAGAGTCCCGGGTTCGATTCCGGTCAAGGGCATGTACCTTGGTTGCAGGCTCCTCTCCAGCCCAGGCCCTGGTCGGGGCACGTGCAGGAGGCAACCCATCGATGAGTTTCTCTCACATGGATGTTTCTCTCTGTCTTTCCCTCTCTCTTCCACTCTCTATGAAAAAATCAATGGGAAAATATCCTCGGGTGAGGATTAAAAACAAAAACATAAAAATAAAACGCAGATGCCTGGGTTTCACCGAGCAACCTAGGAAAAAATTCGCAATCTTCTATCTGCCTGTTCTGCTGACAATGTTTGTGGTCTTTTAGAACCAAATACAAAATCCGGCCCTGCAATCAACTGAAATCCACACAAATAAATCTGATGCATTGAATAGTGTGCTGGATTGCTAAAATGATAGTAATCAAGCTAAATGATATGCAGCTCATAGAAGTCACTGAGGCTGGTGTTCTGTATGCACTGCTAAACCAATTTGGGGGGCCTTTCTTCCAGCTTTAATGCTTCAACAGCTGTAATCATCATGACTGTTGGGAGTTTCTCCAGGATCGTTTGCAGTGTAACTTGCCTCTTGCACACCCGCGTGCTGGCGAGTGAAGAGGCAGCCCTGTAACTTGCTCCTCGATGACCAGGGCCTCCCGTGTCCACCACTCACTCCTGGCTGCCACCCCCTCACATTCCTCAGAGTCCCTCAGCAGCTGTGCTCTGTGCTTCTGCTCTTTGCTCTGAAACCCTAGCAACGTGCTGGCTGACGGCCCAAGATGACCCAGTGGCATGAGGTTGGCTTGCCAGAGGTAAGAGCAACGTTTTTTTCTGGATTGTGGGAACGGGAACAGTGAAGGTGCAATCACAGAGAGAGAACAGAAAGAATCAGCACTCATTCTTGGAGGGGGGTGGTTAAGTGAAGATCCGGTTCACAGGAAGGGAAGGGAGAGAGCACAGTATAGACCAGTGATGGCGAACCTTTTGAGCTCGGCGTGTCAGCATTTTGAAAAACCCTAAGTTAACTCTGGTGCCGTGTCACATATAGAAATTTTTTGATATTTGCAACCATAGTAAAACAAAGACTTATATTTTTGATATTTATTTTATATATTTAAATGCCATTTAACAAAGAAAAATCAACCAAAAAAATGAGTTCGAGTGTCACCTCTGACACGTGTGTCATAGGTTCGCCATCACTGGTATAGACTGTGGCCAGGAAGAGGCCCTGAGCAGAACCAGTGGTGACGCGGTTTCCGAACTGTCCCCACTAGAAAGAATCCCTCAAGGTGAGCCTGTGGTCAGGAGAGGGAGGACTCGGGGGCCCCTCCACTGCACCCACGAAGGCTACTTCACCTCCTGCACACGTGGGGCTTCCCTTCAGGTTCTACCCCGACAGCGTTCCAGTGTTCACAGGCAGGAGAGGACACAGCCCCCCCTGCTGCAACCTGCGGAGAGGTCAAGGGCAACTGAAGAGCAAGGATCCCAGCTCCACAGAGAACTCCCCGCCCTCAGTCCGTCAATGCTACATCTGAGGTTTTCCAGTGAGAACACGTGCACTCTTTTTGCAGTTAGAGATGAAAAGATGGAAAATAAATGTATTGGCTGAAATCCATTTACCCAACAGACTGTCAAACTACAGCGGGAAGGCTGGGGAGGGTTGGGGGGCGGTAAGAGATCAACCGAAGGACTTGTATGCATGCATATAAGCATAACCAATGGACACAAGACACTGGGGGGTAGGAAAGGCCGGGGGAAGGTCAAGGGGGGAAAAAAGGAGACATATGTACTACTCTTTGTAATACTTTAAGCAATAAAACAAAATTTTTAAAAAAAATCCACTTACCCAGCAGGGAACTCCATCAGCACATACATGTAAATAATGTCATTTATCAAAGCCTCACTCACCATGTGGAAGCTGGGGCTGGGGATAGGAAGGGGAGAGCAGGAGAACTGGGAGCCCGAAGAAAAGGGGGGCTGCCAGTCCGTGAGAGGGTGAAGTGGAGAATGAAGGTCAGCTCCCTGTCAGTCTTGGCAACAAGGCCTGGGGGCCAACCTGCTTCTGTCATGGGCAAGAATAACTAACCGCGCTGCACCCCTGGCGAGGCAGGCCATGGGCCGTGACTTCCTAACGCTGAAGTTTCCACAGGTGTATAAATTAGGTATTTAAGTCGGCTCTATAGACATGGACGCTTATAGACATGGAGGCGAGATTGTGCTCTCAAGAAGGTAAGCCCAATGCTGAATTTGCAAGACACACCACAACGCCTCCCACTTTGGAATGCGGGACCTAAATGGGTCTGGGGTCTGTTAGGTATGTGCAGGCCCAAACCATAGGATAGTGTTTTCTATTAAAATGTGATTCTTTTTTTTTTTTAATAACAGTGGGGTCTTGAACTTACGAGTTTAATTCGTTCAGAGACCAAGCTCGTTAAGGAGCTCGTTAACTCAAATTACTTATCAATTCAATGCAAAAAATCGGCCGAGAGACAGCTGGTATCTCAAAAAACTCGTTAGTCGGGACACTCGTAAGTCAAGGCCCCACTGTATATGTATTTTTATTTCAGAGAGGAAGGGGGAGAGAGAGAGAGAGAGAGAGAGAGAGAGAGAGAGAGAGAGAGAGAGAGAGAAACATCAATGATGAGAGAGAATCATTGATCGGATGCCTCCTGCACGCCCCCTACTGGGGGTAGAGCCCACAACCTGGGCATGTGCCCTGACCAGGCCACCTATGAGCCAGGAAGGGGGCCTTCACCAGATGCTGAATCTGCTGGATTAAGACACACCTGTACGCCTGCACACACTCACACTTCCTCCCCCCTCCTGACCTGCCTCACCCGATTCACAACTTTCCAAGTTTGAATTTCCCACCCAAAAAATACCACTAAAGCACACAGATTAACCCCATCATCTGGTGGCAATATCTAATATGTTGCTTTGAACATAAACTGTCAACCAAAACAGATGTCACCTTGTATGTGCATTTTGACGTCACGGGGGTGGCGGAGGGGATCTCTTGGCTAGCCGTCTTTTAATGCATGATCAGTTGGCTCCACTTCTCATTTCCCTTCAACTTGTTAAATATTTACTCCTCCCTTCCAAGAGGCACGGTCCTTCTTGGTCGCCCCTCATGTGTGCGTGGCCTCCTACTTTACCACAAACATGAGAGCGGCAGGCATGAACCCCTCACTTTTCTCCACCGGATCTCCAAATAACGGTGCCCTCGCCTCTGAGGAGGTGGTGTCCCTACTGCTTCCCGAAGCTTATTCTTCATCCC